TGATCGGGACTTTTGCAATTTGTTCTTTCAATTTTTTAACAATATGAAAGTGGCAGAGTAAAACTGTTGAAGATGGAACTAATTCAGTGATTAATTTTTTTTCATTGAAGTCTTTATCAACCATAAATGTATTAATTTTGTCATACTCTATATAGGAAAAAGTTGAAAAGACAAAAATATACTCAAAGTGAGGTTATTTAGGCGGTGTATACAGTGGGGGTTGTTGATTATGTTTTATAAATAGGTTACTAGGCTTCGTACATGTGCATCATTTTGAGTTGTGACTCATCTTTTTACTTAGATATGTTTGTTGAAATTTTGCTAGCAATTCACGTATACTTTCCTGTGATTCGTGAGCTAATAATCCTATTCCAACTGGTTGCCCTTGAAAAAATCACAAAATCAGCAAATCTTTCAAAAGACCATTTTGAGCATTTTAAATTGCGAGACTTTAGTGGTATGTATACCTGTACCACGATTATCTTCAACTAAAAATGCATATAGCTTTCTATATTAATCTTGTAAGTTGCATCCGAAAATACGATATGAAAAAATTGTTTAAAATTTTCTTTCATTTTAGATGTTGCAATAAATATCATATCAAGCTGGTTATTATCTGACACAGTGACATCAAGGGTTGCTGTTGAATCTAAACGTTTCATATCATTCAATATTTTTTCAATTACAGTTGATTGCTCCGGTACGTTGTTTGTTGTTGTTTTGTTTAGAATGTTTGAAATATCTTTAAAGGTAATTTCATCGATAGTGTTCAGATTTTATAGTTAGTTTTGTCGTAGATATCAAGTCACACTACATGCGGTACAGAGTTCAATTCTAAGTAAGATATGTCATTTTAAAAACGATTTTAAAACTTCATCATAAAGTACAGATGAAAAGCGGTTAATATTTCCTTAAGTTTTTTACAAATCTATATAGGTCTCTAAAAATCTGCTTTTCTGTTACATCTAAACAATCTGTTTAGGACTATATTCTCCTCCAGGTTGAATGCTCTTTTCAATGAGGTGTGTCTCGGCATACGCAACTAACAGCCTTATTGTAACCTTAAAACCAGTTCTAAAAAAATTACTCTTTACAGTGGGGAATTTATGTTTATTTTCATTCATAACCATATCACGAATAATATTCGAGGAACTTTTGATTATTATATTTTTTTATTAATTCAATAGTGTCATTATCCAAACGACGTTGATGAGTATAAAACTTTAAATTTGATTGATCAACTTTATGATTATGATTTAAATTAATTACAGTGACTTTTAAGGTTGTCCCGTTACTTTGTAGCCGAGTCTTAACCGAGCACTGTAAACACAAGTGATGCTGTCGCGGTCGTATTCCATTACTACGATTCCGTATTTTACCACCATGACAACAATAAAATACAACAGTTCTATAAACTACTTCTGATGTATGCTTTAATTTTACTGAATGACCGATGGAAAACATTGCTCCGGTTTCGGATGAATAATTATTTAATCTATGTTTATCGTGGATTGCCCTTTCGTTTGTTTTAATATAATTTAATAAATGATGACGAAGTGTTAAAGATGAATCTTGTATGTCAATCATATGCAACAAACAAGCATTCAGCAAACAGTTTCCTTTTCCTGTAAAAAACGTAGAGAAGGAAACAACAAACGTACGCAGGTCAAAATGATACACTAAACAGATTTAAAATGATCATATTTGTAATCACATTTATTGTCGTTAACGACTGTAAAGAATATCAATTTAAAGAATGTGTCAGTTCTAGGTTCCTAAACAGTTTGTCGTTTCTGGTTTTCTAACCACTAAGGTAGACCTTATGAGTGGTAAGTAAGACTGCAAAGCCAAAAAAAATTTCAGGTCAAACAGATTATCATATAACCAGTTGCTACAAGCATTTTATTAAAAAACATATTGTTCTAATCGCTGCAGCGATTAGATCAATATGTTTTTTAATAAAAAATCACCTTAAGAAACAAGAAATAGGCAAATTATCATTCGTTTTCAATGAATACAACGGAACACATTTTGAAAACCAATTAATTATCTGTGAATTTTCAAGATAGGTTTGATTTTCGAATAGATGTGAACTAATTTTATCAATATTTTCACAATCAAGCTTTAATACAGTAGTATAATGTGCTGCAAATAATGTATTCGAGAGAACGTATGTTTCGAGAGAAACAAAATGTTCAAGCTGTGCAACAATACCATTGCTTTTTCTAATATCTTGATATTCAGAATAAGAATAAGGTCGAAGATACTGATACATTTTTATCAAAGCGCAAGAATCAATCTGATATAAGTAATTTAAAAAAATTAATCAGACCTTGCGTAGCTTTTGTCATTCAATTTAAAATGAAAGCATCCTATCGGAAAAACAAACTGCTATCTTCATTACAGAGAATCTCAAACATTTGGGTTTTTCAGTTAAAAACACTCTAAACACAAAAAGTTTTAGTGACGAAAGAAAATAAACAAACTGTGATAAGTGGTTCTTTGTGTGCGGGACAAATAATACTCCTGCAGCTCATAGTTAAACAAGTTTAGATGATTAAGAATAGCGTCCTGCAACTAAAACTTTAGAGAATGAATATATGAAACATTTATGGATGGCAGATAGTTAAAACTTTACCTCTGTGCGGACGCACTCCACGCGCGTTACAGATTTAGTTCACTCTTACCCTATTGTGAACTCTGACTTAGAATGAAGTCAGAATAAAGCACCATTTCCTACGACAAAATTCTTTATTATGTGTCAAAACTTAATTGTCCTACTTTATTTATTGTTAGTGTTTTCTTAGTCCTGCCGATATTGATAAACGATGGAAACCAATAGCAATGCAAAGCACTGATTTATGCTGACCTCCACAACCTCAATAGCCAGTTGTGTATTAGGAAAAACATTCTTAGAACTCCAATGTTAAGAAATTCATAAAGCGTGCCGGAACTTACACCCAAAAGTAAAAATACGACGACTCTTGTTGACACTCTCAGAGAGTGGCAATAGTCATTTCGTTTATTTTATCATAAAAATACGAAAAATAGTTTTAAATGGGAGAGATACTCATCTTTCTTTTGTGGCTTTTGTTTGATGAATTAAGAAATAAATCAGTCCTGCTAAAAGTGGAGCTTGATGTTCCTTGCCTTGATCGCATCGGAATCATGTTTCTATAGAATGGAAATGAAAGAAACTAATAGACCGACTATACACTTCGTTTTATCAAGTTCGTGCCTTTTTTACTCGGGTGTTTGTTTCTTTCTGACCAGGTCACTAAAAGAGAAACGAAAACAATAGGCTAACGTTCTACAGTAGAAGAGAAAGAAGTCACTTTATTGTCTATCTAAATCAGAAACACAAGTTATAGTCGATGTTGTGGCCGACGTGACTCATCGCTGTACTAACTAGTGTACATAGTAGCCATCACAGAATTCCATTAACTCTTGATGAGCTAAGATTCTTGTTAATACAATCTGCAGATAAATCCGTTATTTTTCTTATTCCAGTGTCTCAAAAAAAGCACTCTGACATTTTCCGCTCGTACGCCGTTATGCATGTATATCTCCATATCTTATGCCATTAGTAATTTTTAGCGAAAAACTCTGAGTTTCGATGCTGTCATTTTTTTAACGTAAACTTCTCAAGTTAGAAAATTCTTAAAATAAGAAGACGCGCTCACCAAACCCATGATAACACCAATTGCAAGAAATGAACCAATGGCTGCTGGCTAGCAAGTAAATCTCTTAAGAAAGCATAAAAAGATCACACACAACATCGACTATTACTAGATTCATTCTCTTCGTCACAGGTCTATTTTTTACAAACATGTCATCTCCGACAAGATCAGATCGTAGTGAAATTAGTATAGAGTGACAAGAGACGAATCTAGAACGATCTTTTAATTTTTGTCTGAAGATTAATTTGGGCAAAATTAGTTTTTCTTGCTAAAGTTTTGTGAAATTATGTTTCGGAATTCTTGAGGTGATTTTGAGCCGAAAATGAAAATCCTATACTCGAGTACTTTTCAGAAAATACTCGTACTTGGAAATCCGTGTACTCGCCCATCTCAGACGCGTATAACAAGCGATAAAGAGTTTTTCTGCTGCAAATACTGTATCGATTATGATTGGAGTTGTACCAGTCAATCGAATGTAGTGCAGTATCGACTAATTCTATTAAACACTGTTTTACGTCGTCTAACAGTTCATCGTATTCTTCGTATTGTATGGTGATCTTAAATGTGAATACTACATTCACCGTAAAGACTATCTTTGTTCAAATCAAAATTATCAGCCACTTTAGCCACAAAACAACTTGATCTAACGGATCTTGGTAAAACTCCCTGCACACCTTTCACCGCTTTTTGATGGAGGCGTGTGATCATTTTATACCTACATACGTGTCCGAAACGATTGAATAAGGTCATCAGTTGGTACGAACGTTCATGTTTCATGATCTCGTCAGCCAGTAGATATTGTTTTAACGTCACAATGTTTTCATTTTGAACGCTGATGATATCGTAGCAAATCGATGATATTTTTAGCCACTTTTTCGATGTTTTAAACAAATCAGTCTTTAGCGCGTTGTAATGTGTGTAGACGCCGAATATTTGTGTATTTTCTTTCACTTGTTGTTAATAATCCGACAAAATTAACAATTTGTTCTATATTCATATAAAAATAATCCAAATATTATCTTTTATATCAATATAAAAAGTTTCTTTTGTCTCCGTTTTAGAACAAATACATGTACGTTAGATCCAGGATCAGACGAGAGAATATCAGATTTCAATGGAGAAGACATATGTCGAGTATGCTCAATTATATACACAACAGAAGATTGTTTGGGAGAAATTCAACAGCTAACTGCACGAAAACGTCTACAGAACGCTAATTTGGTTCGCACTCAGTCTGATTTTTCCTTGAGCTTTTAGTTGGAAGAACGCATGATTCGAAAGGTCACAAGAGCTTTGATATAAAAAAATCAATTTTGAAACAGAAATATTCATAAAAGGTAACTAAAAATTCTCTCTTGTAAAGATATACATTCTCATCGCTCTTTTACCGTAGAACAATTTCAGTGTATTCAGATATTAATTGAAAATTTGGAAAATGCATGTGAACTAGTTTTGATATCCATGACGAAGGTAGTTTTATTAATTAGTTCTCTGTGTATGTGCCTCTAGTTGTTGTCATTTCAAGTTTTCATGGCAAACACTAGAGACCGTTGTAGAACAGAGTACATATGTTACGCCAATTATGCATCAATTGCAAAAAATTGTGCTCATTATTCGTGATCATCTTGTTTAATCCAGACAATATTTTTCAGAGTTTTGTCAGGTATGTCTTATAATAAAGAAATTGTTAATCGTCACTTCCTTTAAGCTCATTTATTTCGAAATTTATAAGTTATTTGAATCGGTGTAAACCAATAAATGTGACTGGTGTTGAACAATTGCTACTGGATAGTCACCCGTTAAAAGTGTTCCTGTTCGAGCTGCTAAGTACAGAGCTAACTGTTTGCCTCAAAAACAGCGGCTCAAAAGGGTGCTTCCGCACAGTTGCGCACAGTATTACCTGAGTAAAAATCCGGGAAGGTTTGACTATATACAATCGGTGAGCGCTGCGCGATTACAATAACAAAATGTAAAGTTCAAACACTGCTATTATTCCAAGAATTCAGAATTTTAGAATTCTGAACAAGTAAAGTTCAGGGTTCTGCGTATAGTAGCTGCGCTTCAAC